GAAGACTCCCCGTGTAGTAAATGGTGACTGATGCACGTTAAATCTGTCGAGTCTCAAAGTCCTCCATGTTCCCACAACAAATCAATACCTCTGGGGGTACTGATCCAGGAGTTTCCTTGTCTTCTGGATTGGTTCAAAATTACAAGGCTACGGAGTTGAACGTAAGTAGTCGTAAACCCACGAAATTGGGTCGGCTGTTCAACGACGGTTATAAAATAAAATAAAATATCAGGTTGAATATTAGGTGGGAATCCATAAAAGGTGGAAATGAATCTACTATGTGAGACTCCGTTAAGAGATGGAATGAAGTTATCTTTTACGCATCTTAAGTTAAACCAATGCTTGTTGTTTCTAGTTGAAAGACTTTGTAGTCTAAATGTTAGCAGTTGATTGACGTTTGTGTAGTAAGCTCTCTTAGCAAACTGCTGACTTCACTTTGCAATGCATCTATAAGACTGATTGCAATAAGCCTTGGAAAGAACGTTGACAGTTTCCGAAAAGGCAGATTTTCCAATAGACCTACGGCAGCGTTTCTCAAACTTGTTTAACCTCGGTTCGGTACGAAGTCCTAAAATTTTTTGCGACCTCATGCAAAAAACCCCATTTATTTACCAAACAAAATTAATTTTTTTTAATAAAAATCAAGTTATTTGTTTATTTATTTCATACACAAAAATTTCAAAATAATTATATTATAAGTATAAATTATAATTATATAATAAGTATAAAATAAGTATAAAATAATTATAATTATTTAAGTATATGATATAAAAATATAAGTATTTAAGAAATTGACAATTATACTAATTTGAAACTTCAGTAAATGAAGTAAACTTCGTTTCCATATGTTTTGTTCTTAGTGTGAAGGATTTCAATAAATATATGAAATGTTTCAAAAGATTTATAATTTCCTTTTGAAAGTCATTGTTTCCACTAAGTCATTTTTTAATTATTGAAGCTACTTTTTCCGATACTTTGAAAATATTTGAACCAAAGCCTTGCTAATTTGAATTCAATCCATTGAAGGCAGCAAATATATCGTACAAATAAAAGCCCTGGATAGATTTAGTGTCCCCCATCTTCGTGACAGCAACTCTCTTGTAACCGCACCACTCATTGTAGGAATACGGAGTTTCAATTCTTAAATGCCACTTTTTATTGATAAATATTTTCGTTTTCTTGAAGAGATAACTTAAATATTTAGTATTTATTCGATTTTCTCTTGCTGAAATTATATTTTATTTTAATTCTATTCAGTGAAAATAGTACCTAATCTATAAGTTAAAACTTCTCCTTTTGCTTTTCATAATCTGCTATGACTTCTTTTTCTAAACTCTTTGAAATTTTTTGAAATCGGTTTTTTATGAGGTTGAAAAGGTTGAATGATTTGAGATTTAAATCATTATGGACATTATTATCAGTTTCCAAAGAAAAAGTTTCTTTGCCAATAGTTCAAATCTTTTTCTTCTTAATCAATACTAATTGTTGCTTGGTCTTTTATGATAAGTGATTTCTGAAACTTCAAGTACAATTAATTAAATTTAAAATGAAATCTTAATTAAAACTTCAGATGCAAATAATAGCAACAAAATCGAAAAATATTTTAAAATTGCTGTTTAATTTTTAAAATACTAAATTAAATAAAAATGTGTTTATCAATTAACTAATAAATTCACTTAAACAGCATCAAAATTTTCTGAAAAATTTGCAACAATTTTTAAAGAGGGAAGTATTAATTTTTCTTCAACACTATGAGAATACTAAGTCTCAGCTATTAATTTGGAAATTTTAAAAGCTGTCAAAGTGTTTTTTTTATTTAACTGGTGAGGAAAGAGTGAATTGTTTTGAGCAGCAATCAATTCCCTTTCCTTAACAGCAACAAAGTTAATCGGCTTATCAGAGTACTCAGAATGAAGTGTGTCTGAATTCCCTTTCAACTTTGATGATTTCATACTTTTATTTGAAAGTTACTGATTGCAAATAACACATAAAGGAAAATTATTTTAACTGGCAATGAATCCGAAGCGTAAATATTCGTTGCAATATTTGCGAGTCCAATTAGCTTTACGCTTGTTGTTTTGGAGCTGTATATCTGCTTTAGGGGATTCAAACAAAGTATCTTCATGATCATGATGTTTAGCTTTGCTCGTATTTGGTTGATCATCATTTAAATTTTTGATTTTGTTCATTAACCTGTTATCCATTTTATAAAAATTCTTGCAACACTTTTTAAGAAAAAAAAATGTAAAATAAAAATCTGGATATTTAACTGAGACTATATCAACTCGATTCTGATAAAAAATACTCAATATTTTATTTCTTATTTTTTCAATCAAAATCACAGAAAATTTTTTGCCTTTCTAAATTTTTTATAATTATTTTATAATCAATTAATGCAAGTTTGCATTAAACATATTGTAATTTTCTGAGCAATTCATAAAACTAATATTTTTTTATAGCAGGAATACAGTAGTTACATAAAGCCATCTTTGGACTGTTTATTTTTTTAGTTACAATATACAGATCATAAAAATATAAATTTTCCAGGTAAGTTTTACGCTGTTTCTAAATTTATCAACTTTTGATTTAGTGGTTTTCATTTTATAAAATTTTCAAAAATGGGATAAATATTAAAATTATTCTGCACATTAATATTTCATACTTATTGTTGTTGGTTATCCTCTTAATCTGGCATACGTCAGATAAGCTACAGGACGTCACTGACTGCATGAAAATTGGCAACAAAAAGAGGATCTGATTGATACATATTGTTTTGTGATGAAGGGGTATTTGTTCATTAAATTGTATTTCGTTGAATGTGCCTTACAAAAAATTCAAGTTGTTTGATCATTGATAAGAAAGATTGAAAAAGCTCATTAGAAAGCTTACTCATTAACAGCGTTTCCCATACAGCATTGCATAATCCCCATCCACCGGCAATGACGTAAAATACAGCGGCATCGTCTTTAACGGGAGTCCATAGCCAAAGAACCATAAGGAGTCCAGATTGACATACAAGTCCAGCTGCCATTATAATGGGTCTTTGGAAATGCTGCGAGAACAAATGTACTCCAATGGAACCTAGTGTATGACATCCTCCTAGGCAGATCATTGTGAATCCAATGGACTCTAGTCCTAATGCACAGCTGATGTAATCCTGACAAAATAAGAAAAACATATCTTAATGATAGTTCAGGCAACAAAGATGCTGATTTATCATAGCAGTAATAAGTTAAATAATAAAAATTTTATAAGAAATTCCCACTACCCTGTTTTTAATAGATTGGTATACATTATAAGTATCTGTTTCGTGTCAACAGACTGTTTGGCAACATAGTTTGGAGCAAAGTGCCTTTCATTTTAATATATTTCTTTTTTATTATAGAAAATCTCTGTAAAGGAGTGTGCCATAGAAACCACGAAGACTCGTTACTAGTCCTATTCAAAATACTTTATGAATCAGTGAAAAAGAACAGAATTGTTAATTAAAAAGCTGTATTTTTTTGTCAAAATTATCTCTTGAGCGAATTTTGTATCATATTTTTCTTAGAAATTACGTTAAAATTAGTTTTCAAATTTTGAAGAAGCTTACAAATTATTTGATTTGTTACCAAAAAAATGTATTATTTCTGAATTTAAACTATCCTTTGACAATTAAATTAGCATAACTTCGGATCAAATTACGTTAAAAAGCACTGGCACCTTGAGTGCAGCATCCGTACAATCTATTTTGCAGTAAAATCATTTTGCAGCATATTTTTTACGTTAATACTTATTTAATTACAGGGATTTAGTAATTTAATAGTCAATATTGCAGCAAAAATCACGGTATATCAGATTTTCTGTTCCTTAAAATTTTACGGTAACAAATGGATTTTACTGTAAAAAGTACTGACACCTGGAGTGCCGGTACTTTTTATTATAACTTGATTCAGAATTTTTTACAGTGTGAAGATTGAGTTTTAGTACTTAATAATGCCATAACTATAGGTCAAAAGTAATTCAGAATGTTACGTTCTTTAGTTTTGTGGAATGTACTTCTCATTTATTTTTATATAGCAATTTCAATTTCAACGATTTTTATTTTGCTTTGAATAAACATCGTGTTTGCAACGGTCACAATGTTTAACAAAATTAAAAGTCGATATACAATTGGATTGAAATCTGATGAGCTATTAAAATATTTTTAGTCTCTTCATATAAAAGGATAATATAAAGTATGATAATTCATTCGCAATTTTTCCTATGTAAAAATATTTATTAAACCAACATTCGTCATAAAACGCATTATCATACAAATAATAAATTATATTAAGATATTAAAACTGTATAGACAAATACCAAAACCCGAATATTAATGTATCAATATCATATTTTTATTATTAAATTTAATCATAAAACAGCCTCTTTACAATTTTTAAAGTAGAAACGCTAAAGAAACATAACTCTTAAAGTTGACAGTATTAAATAAAAGCACAATAAGGTAAGGTTTCTTTCTTTTTTTTCTTAAATCGAAAAATTTTTATTGTAGTTTTCCAGTCAGCAATTCATATTCATTTATTCTTTTATGTTACTATTGAAAAGAGTTTTTGTAATTCCTAACAATAACTGAAAGTATGAAAAGAAATCCTTTCTTTGACATTGTTGCAACGTATACAAGCAAAAACAGTAGACCTTTACAATAAACCTTTCTCCTGGAACTACTAGTTTTAAAAAACTTTTTTGAATCGAATTGTGGGATTAAGACTAAAATGTAAACAAACGACAAGCTTTTCACAGAATTTAACGAAAACTGGGGGTTTAGGAAAAAGTAATTGTCAAAGCACAAAGATTGAGGAAGAATTACGTCAAACTCACGCTATATTGATCTTCTTTGTTGAGTTTTTTATATTGAGGATTGAAGTTAATGTAATTTATTTTTAATTTTTAAGTTGTTAAATATTATAGTTGTTATATGTGGTTAAAAATTTCTTACAGCTTAAGTTGGATTATATGCAATGAAAATTTTTTCTCCTCTATTTGTAGATGCTTAAATGTTTTTTGCTAATAATTTTTTTTGTCTGATTCCTCAAAGTTAATTAAAAAAAGTTTCCAAAAATTTGCTAATTCAAATTTATGGATTTAACACTCAGTAATTTATACTACAGTATACTATATACTATATACAGTATACTATATACAGTATACTATACAGTACACAAATACTACAGTAATTTATTCCAGAACAAGGGAAAAAAGTTCTATGACTGAAAAATTTATTTAAATATTTTTTGGTATAACAAATAAAAGTAATTCTTTTAAAAAATGCAGTTATTTTTTTTTATAAAATTGTAATTGATTTTTAAATCAATGTAAAGTAAGAAATTGTCTCCGAAATATTTAAGTTTATTTTGGCTCTAACTTTAAAAATAAAATTGAATGTTTCTAAATTGCATTTGTACATTGCACACTGCGATAATTTTTTATTCTAAAATTACTGGAAAATAGCCGGTATTTGTCTGTCCATCCAATAAACTGTAAATTTTACGGTTAGGAAAATTTCGTTACCTTTACGAGTTTAAAACTGTTTACATCTGGTATGGTTAGAAAATCGTAAATACAATATTATACGGTTTTGTAACCAGTTACAACTAGAATGGTTTAAAAAAAAAACTCAATTTTAACGTACTATTTGTGCTTCATTTGAACTCGGATATGTTAGGTCTTTCGTTAGGTAAGAAGATTAGAGTGGGGCTGTGATTGAGTTGTGTTTTGTCAAGTGAAATGTGACTTAATTAGTTTATCTGGTGGTGTCATCTACAATGCGAGATTGGAAACACTAGACTTTTTGGTATTAAGCAGTTTTTAGGTGCTGCCATCTATGCGTGAATGAGAGTTTTGTATTCCAATACGCCAGGGTCGCTGATTGAGGAGTGAATGACACTAGAAACCTTTCATGTGCTGAAGAAATGGTGGAAAAATTTGTGTCAGCGCTTGGAATTCGAACTCTCGTTCAGCTGGCCATAGGATTGATAGATTATCTCTCTCGGCTAAGGAGTTATACCCAGCTGCAAGGATTTAAGTATTTTCATAAGCTGCTCACCACACACTTATGACTATAAGATTATTAGTAATTCGATGATGGAAAATAAAAATATTATTCTGTAATCCTTATCACTTCGTTTAGCTTTCAACTTTTGAAGAACATGAGTTCGATTCTCATTGACTGTGAGCTTAGTGGGGGCAGAGAAAATTCTATATGTTTAACGATATTAAGAGGAAACAGTCAGTAAACGAAACAGTTACAACAAATAACAATAAATAACAGTTTGGAAAGCTTTTCTTATGATTATTTGTCTGCTTTGGTTGAATGTGGCCAATAAAAATTAAATAAATTTTTATTTTATCATGTTTCCGAGAAATTTCTAATAGTGTATAAATATTCTATATTTCAACGTTTTTGGCACCATTAGCTGTTGTCACCATTGTTTGATGCCAGTACTATGTAGAAAACAGCTACACATAAAAAGGAAAACAATCATTCCAAGCTTAAAAATGTAGAAAAAATGTTTAATTACTTACTCTGGTGAAATCTCCAAAAATAAAAGCTTGTTCGATTCCAGTAAAAACTATCATTAAGACAACTAAACTCACATTTTGATCGATTAAAAGTAATTTAATTTGTCTTAAAGTTTGGTATAACAACGACCTCTCTAAAGGATCTTGTTCTTGTAAAACTTCTAATTTCTCCAACAAAATCACCACTAATAGAACACCTACAGCACATGTAGCAGAAAAAACATATATGAAAATCTCAGTGACTTTTGGCGACAAAAAATTATTGTTTGATGGATTTTTACTTGTTTCACTAAAATCCAATGTTAAAAATGCATGTTTGCATTGAGTAGTAAAACAAGTATCAATTCGACGAGCTACTGTACCAGCATCTTGAATGGTCTCGTTTGACGACGGTTGGCGAGAAGTATCCATCGCATTAATGTACTCCATGACGATTGTGGCGATAAGGTGGCCCCAAAAGCAATAAGACTTTGAAATGATGAAGAAAACTCGTAAGAACCGTTGTTGCATTTTTTTCCTGATGGATTGTGTTAAGAAAGAAAGTCTGGATATGTTTCTGAATAAGTAACTCTTTTGAGCTCTGTATGTAGGTCCAAGTAAGAGCCCAACCAGCATGGCTCCAATAATTAAAATAAACGTGTAATTATATTTGAAAATGATTATGAATATTATTGGAGATAACCCTGATGATACCATTATCCATTTAGGGCCGATTTTTTGTATTAAAATCGGTGCAAAGAGACTAGAAAATATAGCGAAGATATATAAGATTGTAAGTGCTTGTAATCCTGTTCGTGGTGCAGTTGTGCTGAGGAAACTCTGCACAACAGAAAATCCACTGAAGCAAAGTACTATTGCCACACTCAGGATGATGGTGCTTTTCATAACCTTTTTTTCCATCTGTATAGACCCAACGCCATCTAAAAAAGAAATGTAATGCACTGTATTGAAAATTTTGATGTTTGATGTATTGACAAATAAATGTTTATGGAGAGTAACTGCATTTAGTAATAAATTATAAACTCAAATTCAAAAATGCAATAAAAATTATTATAACAAAAAAAATCCCTTTGAGATATGTTTACTACGCTTGTTTGGATGTGTTTCATCCGAAGAAAATAATGAAGTTTTCGTTTTAAATTTAATCTAATAAGGTCAAATGCCCATACTTGGGAAACTCTACAAATTTAGACACTACACCGAGAAAAAAAATATATGGTTAAAACTACCAGAATATGATAAAATATACCGTGTGTCTGAATGTATAGGAACCCCTAATAGTTCTGTGAATTCTATCGAAATGCTTTGGTAATGATTTTGGTAAAATTAGCAATAAAATCTAATTTTTTATAATCAGTGATAAAATTTGGTAAATGTAACATTTGGTAATTTTATGACTATACCTTTTGAGTATAACATAAAATCCATTTATTTGGTTTAATTTTTTCCTTCAATTTTTAATTTTTTAATTTTTATAAACGTGGGGTAATGAGAAGTATAGTTTTGAAAACCAGAATTTCCGGTAAACTGCTATCATAAGAACAGAAAAATAACCAAATAAATAGCTTTAATATCGTATATTTTGGTTTTACTAACTAGAATTATGCTTTTCTTTTATATCCAAATACCTTTTATAACCAAATCCATACCATTACCATGCAGTACAGTAACCTCACCAGAATTTTTTTCTCCGAGTAATTAAAAGTACACTAATGAATATTTAAGATGAGAAATACATAATTAGAAATGAAACATAGAAAAGATCCTTGTATTTTCTAATTACGGTATTAATCGTGTTTAATTAATTTTAAAACTAATTAAATTAAACTACTTTTAAAAATTGTTCTTAGTAATTTATAAAATTTTTAATACATGCTTGAATATTTATAGAAAAATAGAAATAAATAACTACTTTTTATTTCTTTCAAAACTACCACAGAAGTTTTGGTAGAGTTTGATAAAAGTTTGAAAAGAAAAGAATGTATAAAAAAGTGTGCATATTTTTGAACACCAATTAAAATTTGAACCAAGAAAAGACAAAAAAGATATTGAAAAAAGGTGGAACTGGAAACCGTAATCTATGCTTGGATTCTGAAAACATACAGTTGTCGATTAGTGGTTATTAGAAACACTTCCAAGTTTCATAAGGCCAAGCAAACTGGTTTTGACGTCTTTCATCCCTTCTTCCTAGCTAGATATTCACTGTCAGAATTTTCATTTTAAAATTATGGTAAAATAATCAGCAACAGTCTGTCCATCCAATTAACCATAAAGTTTACGGTAAATAAATTTTTTTACCTTTGCGGTTTTGAAGCCGTTTATAACTAGTATGGTTAAGAAACCATGACTACAATACTAAATGTTTTTTTTTTACCATTTAAGTCTACCATGGTTTCAAAATCATAAGAAAGGGATTTAACTGGACATTGGAGATAGTTCAATAGCTTTATAGTGCTGCCATCTATGAGTGAAAGAGGGTATCATATTCTAATAGCAAGGGTCACAAATTGAAGAGTACTGGACACTGAAAACTCTTCATTTCTTGAAGGGAATTAAAGAAATATTGTGGTATTATCGGTGGGACTCGAACTCCTGTTCTGTTGGTTATGCGATCGACAGATTGACCCTTTCGGCTATAACATGCACCCATTTGCAAGGAGCTAAGTGGCTTCATTAGGTAGATCTGATAAACTAGTTAATACGATAAAATTCTGGTTGTTCAACAGTTTTAGGTGAAAGCAGTTAATAAACGGTTTTTCTCACTGTTAACAGTTTCAATAACATCTTATTTACGGTTATTTGATTGTTTCGCTTGAATATGATGAAATAACAATTCAATAAACTGTTATTTAAGCATTTTTTTCCGATAAATTTTTAACAGTGCTTGGCAGATTTTGATAGTGCTTTTAATCCCCCATTATGTAAACCATAATGTGAACTTTTTGTTTTATTTATTTATTTTTTGAAAAGAATTTTAAATATGAATACCCTTAAGTATCTTTTGACAAGGATTCTTAAGGGTGGTCATTTTAGAACATCTTGCATGTCTACATACATAAACTGTGCAAATATTATATCGTTTAAAAGTTAAAATGATTACTTTAAAAAGTGAGCTTTAAAGTAAATTTATCTTTAATATGATACTTGTAGAAAACACAAGTATTTTTTTTCCTTTAGTACTCTTAAAAAAGTATATAATATCTTTTGTTTTAGATGATTGAAAGTGTGTTCCGAAAAAAAGAATTCAGCTTTAAGTCTTATATTCGAATCTTTCTTAGGTTGCCCTGGAGTCAAACAGCTTTTTGGGAAATAAAGCAGCTGTTTCAGATTATTTATAAGAAAAAAGAGAGGATTCGGAGATAAGGAGTATATCCTTCGGCCTTCTTAAATTCTATTTTAACTGTAAAAAAAGCTTGTTTTTATTAGTTACATAACATACCTAAAAGTATTATTGCTACTAGATATTTGTGTTATGTTACGTTATGTCATGTCATACTTAGGTGGCAAAAGAGAAATAATATGTTTCGTCTAGAATTTTTGTTGAATTAACTAGGATGAAACTATAAGAAATATTTAATTAAAAATTAATGTTTGGGTTAGTTCTATATATTCGTGAGATGAAACCTCAGTACGGTTGAATGACAATTTTTTAAAATTTTATTTTAAATCAGATCATTAAATAATTATTCTTTAGCATAAAATAATTATGCATGATGTCAAGTAGCACTATTAAGAAAATAGAAATAAAAAGCAAATTATAGATGGCTTAGGAACCATCTTAGAACCATTTAAATAGAAATTGATCAGCACAAAAACCAATTTAATACTACACAGAGAAAGAAACTACCAGTCTGAACACTATTTTTTAAAACTAAAAACTATTAGTTAAAACTATCAGAATATAGTAAAATTTGCTATGTTACTGACTCTATGAGAACACCGAAGAGCTCGGTAATTTTTACCGAAGCACTTATGTAATAAGTTTGGTAAAATTTAATAATAAAATATGGTTACATAATCTGTGATAAAAATTGGTAAATTTAAAAAATATTGGTAATTTCATCATGATATTTTAGAACATGGCATAAAAAGCATTTATTCTGAAAAATTTACCTTTCAGTTTTGTTTAATCTATTAAATGTGTGGTAATAAGAACTGTAAATGTCAAAACCAGAATTGCCGGTACCAGAATTCGTTTCCACATGAATAGAAAAATTACCAGAATTGTGTTTTTTTACCATATGTGTCATTACCATACAGTACGGTAATTTTACCAGATTGTTTTTCTCAGTGTATAAAAGATTGCTAAAGTCGGTCGCACTTTACGCAATTGAATATTTTAAAACTAAACAAAATGGTGTGGAGAGGCTTATATAATTATAATTTTTATACAAAATATGATGCTTCCTTTTTTATTTTTTATTCCCGATGACAGGGTGAATTACAAGGAAAGGGCAAGATGAGAAAAAAACATTGCACAACAAGGAACAAAAAACAGAACAAGAAAAATACAAAGTTAACGGTATGATCGAAGTAATTGCGTCACAATTCTCTATACAAAATAAAGTCGCCTACTCATTTTTAAATACGCCACGGTGCCTAGGTACCATTGGAATTGAATTTCGACGAAAACACCGAGAATAGCTATAGCGACGAGAGAGCATGCCGAAGACTGCAGAGCACTTTGCTTGTTATATCATGTACCATAGTAGAAGTAGTAACAGCATTTCGTATTAGGTGGCTAGGCTATTTATTTATATATGATGATGCATACCCATCAAAAAATAATGACCTTTTTAAGAATTGAAGGAAATTGTAGAACAGAAAGACAATCCACTAGATAGTTGCACGATGCTAAGAGAGATTTAGAACAGATAGGCGTGAATGGTTTGAGAGCCATAACATAGGAGGAAAAGAAATTTTGGAGTATAACAGACAGTTGCGTTTAAGAATAATAATAAAAAGTTGAATGAGTAGAAAAAGAAGAAATATAAATAGAAGTAGAAGAAAACGAATAAGTAGAAGAATAAGAAATGGAAGAAGAATGGTAGTAAAAAAAAGAATGGACAGCAGTCGAAAAGTGGATGAAAAGGAAGTAGTAAAAGAAGAAGAAGAAAAAGCAGAATAATAATGATAATAATAATAAGAATAATCAACAGCAGAAGAAGAAAAGGGAGAAAAAAAGGAGTAGAAGAATTACAATAATAAAAAGAATGAAGAGCAGTAGTAGAAGAAAGAGAAAACTATAATAATAATAATAATAAAAATAAAAAGAAGAATGAACAGCAGTTAGAGAAGAGGAGGAAGAAGTAAAAGAAGAATATGAAGAAGCAGAAGAAGTAGAAGAAGAAGTGGAGAAGCAAAAGCGGTAGTAGGATAATAATAATACGATGAATAAACAGCAGTCAAAGAAGAAGAGAAAACAGTAGAAGAAGTAGAAGAAGATGAAGCAGGCGAAGAAATAAAAGAAAAAGTAGAAGAAAAAAAGCACTAGCAGAATAATGATAATTAGTAGAAGAATGAACAGTAATACAAGAGAAATACGAAGAAAAATAAGAAGTAGAATAAGAATATGAATAAGCAGTAGAAGAAGAACATTAATAATAAAATGAATGAACCGCATTGAAAGAAGAAAAAAAAAAGAACAGTAGCAGTGAAGAAGAAGATATTTTAATGTCATAAAAAACTGTCAGTTGGCCTATAAGAAGGAAGTACTGATTTTTCAAAGATTTTCTAGTTTGTCAACAGCATAGCTAATAAAATATCTGATTTGATATAAAGTAACTACCCCCACTCCCATAAAAAATCCTAACATTTTATAGAAAATAATCTAGTAACATTTTCTCGTCTAACTAAATTTCTTTGACAAAAACTTAATTAAAGGATCAAATATTCTAATTTTCTCATTAAAGAAAAATTAATATTGATTTAATCACTCTTCAGAAGAAAAATTTTTAATTTCTCGCATAACTTTATTTTTAGATTTCAATAGGGGTGATGAGAAATCGATAAAATTAAATGAAATTACTCCTTCTCTAATTTTTTATAATCACCATGAAACGGTGAAATGAAACTAATGAGTTAAAACAGAAAGTTTCTTAAAAAGTTTAATGCGAGTAGTTTGAATTTCTAGTCAGAAAAAACAATAAATTGGAGTTTTATGTCAAACTTTATAGCCTTGAGTGTCATAATTTCTTCCGCTGCATTGATTTTAATTTATTAGAAATGAAAACGTTGGTTTAAAAAAAAAGCATAATTTATTCACCCCTGTTTAAAAGAATTGTTGAAACGTACCATTTTTCTTGTTTTAATTTATTTTATTATTTATATTCAGCGCTATTATGAATTGATAATTAAAATATATGCGATTCTATCGATATTTGGGAATAGTTGTGTTTGAATCCATACACAATCCATGAATCCATTTGAATCCATGTTTCATGACCTAGCATCCAATCAAAATCTTATGTTTATGTTTTCGATAGTTGGATACATTAAAATCTTATATCGGATAAATAGTGTAAGTATTGATATTAGACCATTATTATTATAAAAAATTTCCAATAAATTTTTTTCAATAGCTTAGTAATAATTTCTAATTTAATAATAATTTCTATTTTCTATAATTTAGGAATATAAAATGTTTTTAATAGCTAGGAAATATATTCTGAATCTTTTTCTATACTCGAGATTATAACAATCATTATAAGTGGGAATATAATGTGCGGAAAAGTTTTTAAAATTATGCGACAAGGATCTTCCCAAATATCTTCTAGATAGCAGTTGTATATTGCAGTTTTCAATATTTGATTGTATTTCCAAACTTAATGTTATTATAGTTACAATGTACTATAGCTTCTTGACAGTTGTAACAATTAAAATAAAAATCACAGACTTTCTAGATTCTTGTTAAGCTTTTGCAGATTCTGATGGATTTAGTGATATCGAGCACTTTTTCCCCCACTGAATAGCTATATATTTGCTGGTACATACCCGGAGAAGAAAATTCTGGTAAGATTACCATATTGTATGATAACTACATTTTTGGTAAAAAAATCATAATTCTGTTAATAAAAACCAACATACACGGTATTTAAGTCATTCATTTGGTAATTTATTCTTTCATATAGTACCGATTTACCGGAAATTCTGGTTTTTAAAATTATAGTTCTTATTACCTTAAATTTAGTAAAAGGTACAAAACATGAAATTAATTTAACCAAGTAAATGTTTTATAGTTTATTGTTAATTTTATTTGGTTGATGTCGGTAGTAAACTAAAGAGATGGAGAGAAAACGAGAGAGATAGAGAGAGAGAGAAAAGGAGAGGGGGAGAGAAAACGAGATAAGTTATTTTTAAATAATATATAATCAAATTAAAATCTTTATTAATTATAAGCAAATATTATTATTAAAAAATGATTATAAATCGCATATTTATTTTAATTCCTCAAAAATATTAAGAAATTTCTTCTTAAAAAATAAATGAATGAATTTTTTATTTTTCTAGTTTCATGGTTATATTAATTAATTAAGAATAGCACTTGTTTTCTGAAGAAAAAACTTTCTTACTTTATTTTAAAACAACTAGCATAATGCTCTGATAAAGTAAATATTTATTTTCATTCTTTATTTGTTTTCGTAATTTAACTAAATTATTTTTCTAAATCTCATTACTCTGTTTTAAAACAATTACCATAATACTTTAACGAATCAAAAACTCTTTTTATTATCCAATAAATTTTATTAAAACTCCTTTTAAAAATATAAGAATACTGAAGATCTCGCTTTCCTACTTTTATGGAAATACGGTGTCAAGAACAACATCTGTTTTCTTCCGGAAAAGCCGATTCTTTTATTCAAAGTGTTTTTGTTGAAGTTTATTTAATTTTGTTTATTTATTTATGTATTTGCAGCATTTCTTTACGAAGTAATTAGATAACCTGGCAGACGTAATTGAATTTTTCGAATGTCTGAAATAAATTATCGTTTGAAAATTGTTCTTTCTAGAAGTTCGGATAAAAATGAATTTATTTTAATTGATTTAACAAGTTGTGTACGTGATATTTTCAAATTGAATTTTATTAGAGAGAAGAAATTTCGGAGGAAAAGAGATAATTTCGAGAATTTTTTTAAAATTGAAGCTTATTTATAATCCTGTTTCTTTTAAATTATAACTAAGATTTTATTTTAAGCTATTTATAATTTTGAGTTTCTTCTATGCTAATATACGACTTATTTTGACATTAACTCAATGAATTGTTGTTTGTTGAAAAAAGAAGCACAGTTTTTTAAAAAATTTCTATATGGAGGAAACATTTCTGGTATAATTACCGCACTGTATGATAATTACATTTCTGGTAAAAAATATAATAAACTAGTAAATAGAACCCAAAAATAACGGTATTTTTTCCTTAAAAATTTTTCCTTTCATATGGTAACGTTTTTCCATAAATTCTGGTATTCAAAATTACAGTTCTTATTACACACATTTAGTAAAAATACAGAAATGAAAAATAAATTTAACCGAATAAATGGTCTTAATGCTGTACTCCAATGTATCATTACAAAATATCAAATTTTATTACACATAATGAAACCATATTTCATTGTTAATTTTATCAAAATCATTGTTAAAGAGTTCATTGTTAAAATACGTAGCTTTTTAATGTTCCCATAGAGCCAGAAACACGGTAAAATTTACCATATTTTTGCAGTTTTGACCATATTTTTTTCCTCAGTGTAGGAAATGATATTATCCTTTTGTCATTTTCGATTTAAAGATAACGATATTTATCGGAAACATGATCATAAATTTGGATGAAAAATTATAATGCTGAAAATTATTTCATTTTTCAATGACCAAGCATAATTACGAGCAAAGCATAATAACTCGTTCAATTCCTTTTATCTTACATTCTCATTAGTACTCGCATTTTAGCACTAAAAGAAATCTATTCTTTGTTTCTCAAAAAAAAAAAAATCTCGAGGTAGAAAAAAAGCTTATTCGATAGCTTTTAAAAGATAATTGCGCATATCATTATCGTCAGTGAAAGAAATATGCTATTCAAATACATTGAAACATTAAAAATTCGTAAAAAATATAGTCAAACTGATGTCTGCTATTAAAACTGAGGTAACAAAAACGCGTAATTTATTATGTGAGTTTGGTAATTTTTTTTCAATAAAATCATTTAACATGTATTATTAAAATTAAAAATTTAACATACTTGGAAAAGGAGAAACTTATATTTAATTCATTTACACATCTCCTGATTTTCATTTCATATTTTTAACGGATGAAATTTCTCTACACATTTCTTGTAATGGAATCCTCAGCCTGTACATTTCTTACAGCAAAATTTTTAATACAATATTGAGCGTTTTGAAATTAATATTATTGCTTAGATAGCGTAATACTCGTACGATAATTTGCTAGAATGTCTTACTTATTATAAAATTTAAAATTAACTTTATTCTTATTTAGTTAGCTGGTTACTGGTTAAAACTTGGTAGAGCATGCATGCAAAAATAAACTTGTTATTTAACATTCTGATTCTATTATTTTAATGCTAAATAAAATTATAAAAAAAGTCACAAATTTCTCATATTTTGATAGGTTAGTATTCGGCGTCCTATAAGTGATAGACGATTTAGAAATGAAAAAAAAAGAATAAAGAAGGAAAGGAAACAAAAACCGGAATGGGAAGAAAAATGTGCGACATGCTCGAAAAAAAAATATTTTTACGGAGTTTCAAAGTTTGTACTACTAAGATAAGTTATTAAACATATACAGAATATCCCATTTGCTTATTATTCCCTACCACAATAATTCTACGTTTTTTGGATTTAGAAATTAGTCCTCAGTCAAATGATTAACTTTTTATGGTTATTTTATAATCTATCGAAATTAATGAGTTAATTGGAAATCGATGAACAAACTCACTTTCACTCTCTTCATCGACATCGTCTTTTTCATCTCTGCTGGAGGCTGGAGCTTGATCATCAGGTTTAAGACGCACTGGACGTTGGTCACACGCATAATCCTCTTTCATCTCATAAGTAACTTCGACTTGATCATCTTCACGACTACGCTCGGCCATAGCTTGCTCAAGGAGTTGATCCAGAGATTTACGACATCCTGACGAAACAAGATCCATTAAGACAGACTAACTAATCCAGAATTCTTTCGAGTCCGCAGTGCAACATCTTTTCGTCTAAAATATAAACATAGAAATTTTTTAAGAAAATTATTTCGCCACAAAATTAGAAATTTACGAAGGGTGAAAAAATTTTATAGTTGAAAATATGCTTTTATTTGACGAAAGAAAATTTTAATAATATGTTATAAGTTCCTTGCATAACGTTTTTGTAAACTGAGGTAAGCAACAAATGGTTATATACTTTTTAAAACAACTATTTTAGAGTGCATACATTAGATAAGCGAATTTTATTATTGTATCTGTTTTATTGCATTAGATAAAATAATCTGATTATTTGCATAAAGTTTAATTAAATTAAATATCGATTATTATGCAATTATTAGGTATGCATTGGAATATTAATGATTTTGAATGTCGCAAAATTAGATATCAAGTTATTTTAAGTTACTAACTATGTAGTAGAATATAAATTACTTGGCATATAATTGAATTACATATTTAATGCAATATAATTATTAAATGTGTAAATAAAGAAAATAGTATAATTATTATAATATTATAAAATTATTATATAAGTAGATAAGGGATATAAATTATCATATTAGTAGATTAGAAATTTAGGGAAATATAAATTATTAATCATTTTGTGTTAATGAACATGAATTATTAGGTATGTAGTGGAATTAGATATCTGGTGCAATATAGGTATTAGGTATGTATAACGCATTTGTAGTAGAATTAAATATCTAGTGTAATATAATTATTAGACATTCATTGGAATACAATTAATTATTGTATATTTCAAAATTAGATAACTACCTCAATATAAGTTACTAATCATGTAATGGAGTATATATTACTAGGCATGTAGTGGAATTAGATATTTAGTGCAGCATAATTATTAAATGTGTAAATAATGAAAATAGTATAATTATTATAATATTATAAAATTATCGTGTGAGGTGGTTATAAATTATTATATAAGTAGTAGATTAGAAATCCAGCGAAATACGAATTATTAATCATGTTGTGCTAATAAGCATGCACGATGGAATTAGATATCTGGTGCAATATAGGCATTGGATATGTGTATTGGATATGTAGCGGAATTAAATATATCTAGTACAATGTAATTATTAGGTATTTAGTGAAATATAAAAAATTATACAGTAGAATTTTAGATATCTAATGCAAAACAAATTACTAAGCAGGTAAAGGAATTTAAATTACTAGTGAAACTAAATATCTTGTGCGATATAAATTATTAGACAAGTCGAAGGAATATTTACAGCAACGTAATAAAATAACATGAACTAAATAGGTAAGTAAGTAAAGGAATTTAAATTATTGGATATTTAGTGGAATTAAACATACAGTGCTATATAAGTTATTACGAGTGTAGAAGAAATGTATATAGAAATATAATAAAATAACATGAACTAAATAGGACACTTAAAATTCTCAACCACTTTTTTAAATATCTTTCAAAATTTATAGAATTAATGAATTACAACTACAAAATCAATTTTGCATCAAAACCACATATTTTGAAAAAAATAAGGAAGCAATTTGCTAAAAATATTTACTGCCATCCGGGGATAAGAATTATTCTTGCCATTGGGAATTCTGCAAAAAGCAGGGGAAAAAAAATCAATTTTGCGTTGCCCCATTTTTTATTCTCAGACCCCTAACTCAATATGGGCGTGATTTACTAGACTATTCATAACAAAAAGGTATTTATTTACAAAGCAATATCCTAACTCCGTATCCAATATTCTGATGGTATGCTAGAAAAAACTGCAATTTGATTCTGACAAAAGCAGCTTTTATTAGGTAGTAAACTTTAATAAATATTTATTGTTTACTTTACCCTTTAATAGATAATTCACTTGTGGGTTCAGGATATTGCTATGGAGTTAAGAGGAGGATAGTAAAAAGCTATACTCAAATAAAAGGTTGTGAAATATACACGTAATATTATTTAATGCACTTATGGCAAATTTTCTCTGTTATATATATACAGATTATTATTATTTATATTGTCATTAAGGAAATAAAAAGATTTTATTTATGTTTAAATTTTAAGATAATATTTTTTATTTACAATATGTTTGATTAGTACAGCTGATAAAATTACGATGAAATATTAATTTTTTTTTCTTATTATATTGTATATTATAGGGGATCCCACTCCGTCTTTGTTTTGCTTAGCAACCCATAAGACTGCTTTCAAAATATTATTGTCCAAATAGAACGGATAAAAAATCACCGATAAAAAAAAATTCTGGTAAAATTACCGTACTTTATGGTAAGGACATTTCTAGTAAAAAAACCACAATTCTGGTTGTTAAAACCAAAATATACGGTACTTAAACCATTCATTTGGTAAGTTTTCCGATCACATGGTAACGGTTTATCGGAAATCCTGCTTTTTAAAATTATAATTTTTATTAGCCCACGTTTAGTAAAAAATACAAAAAAAAAAAATTTAACCGAATAAGTTGTCTATATGCCATGTTTTAAGATATAATGATAAAATTACCAAATTTTATCATAAATTATAAAATCATAATTTATTGTTAATTTTACCACAAACATTGCCAAAGCGATTCGGTAAAATACCGTGCATTTTGATGTTCCTATTGAGCCAGAGACACGGTAAATTTTACCATATTCTTAAAGTTTTGTACATACTTTTTATTTATGTAGATTATTAAATTGAAATTAAAAATTATTCATTTAAAGATACCCATATTTTTTTATTGTAATATCACAGATTTGATTCCTCAAATTTAATTTACGATTGGAGAAAAATTATACCCAATCATTTTGCAAGATTTTCTTTGCAACTTCATCAAGGTTTTTTTAAATTACAAATTAATTTTGGTAAGTGTAAAAACTAGTAGATATTTTTCAACAAAAGGATTATTTAGTAATAAAGCGAAAAGTTAATTCTTAATATTGTCTTACTTAGAACTTTAAACAGTTACTTTCATATTCATTATTTTAGTTGTACACATTAACATAACAGAATTTCTCATCAAATTATGACAAAATAAAACATTTCTAATCATGAAGGAAATATATATTATTCTATTGCCTAAAATACAATGTGATACAGTAACGGAACAACACCTTTCTCTTGAAGTTTCAAGCCTTCAGTTTTGAATGACAATCAAAATCTAAAATTTTTTAAATTCGGAGAATAATACTAAGAAGGTATAATAAATAAATATTACTGATAGGTAGCCTTAGAAAAGTCTACCTACCAGTAATACCAGTCAGGTAAATATAGTTAATTTTTTTTATTAATTTTACACTGATGACAACCGAAGATGTCGGGATCTTTTCTATTTATTTACGATCATATCAGTTGAATGCACGTAATAATAAGATGAAAATTATACTTTTGAAATATATAAAAACCAGACTCTTTATAGCTTTCCTTAGAAAAAGGAAACGCAATGTGCCAGAAATAAAATAGTACAATCTAATTATCATTTCATAAAGATTTCTCTATATAGATTGCATATAATCACTATAAAATTAATCTTTTTGATTTGAATGTATCTTTTTAATATAAGTATTTAAAAATTAGCAAATTACATTGGGGAATTTTTTTGTTTTGTTTTCTGTTCCATGAGCTTTTTTTAACAGATCTTAAATACTTTCTTATTGCATATTTCAAATCTGCGATCAGTTTCTTTCTCCACATCATACATGCTTTTAAATAAACATTTTAGTCAATGTACAATGTTTAGTCAATGTATCCAAATGTACAAATTTAAAAACATTACATATAACAGCGGGTTACGTATATGTTGCAACAAACTTTTAGGGGAGCTAGGGCATATATAAAGGGTTAAAACCGCATGAGAGTTCATGCCCGGAAATATCATCGAACGCTGGTAGGGACGTTTCCCTATTAAGATCTGTCCAGAAGCTCGTGAATGAAATAGTTCATAAAAGGAGTGCTCTCCAAGAGGTGTATCATGACATTTCTGGGCACGAGTTCCAATGCAATTTTAATCCTGATGATATGCCCTAACTCCTAGAAGTTTGTCGCAACATTTATGCTGCTCCCCGCTGTAGATAACGCTTTTTAGCTTATACATTTCGACAAAAAATTGACCAAAAATGTCATTTAAATAACTGTAGCTTGATGATTTCAGATTTGAAATCAGTAATACGAAAGTATTTAATAAAATGTCATAGGTACCCATGTCTGAAAATGTCATCATACTCTGCTAGGGGTGGTTCCTTATTATGGACTGTTTCTACGCATGTTTTTGAACAGTTCATAATGGGTAAGTGACAACGAAAACGACATTTTTAGTCCTTTCCTATGCAATTTTAATCATAACTATGTGCCCTTAGAAGTTTGTCGCAACATTTATGCGACCCCCTTTTATTTGTTTTGTTTAACATTTTGATAAAAAATCTACTAAAAATGTCAATTAAAAAATTACAGCCTTGTGAGAGAAATTGATGATTGCAGAATTGAAATTTGCGATAGGAAAGTATTTAAGATCTGTTACGGAATGTCAAAAGGAAAAAAAAATTGTTTCCCAGCATTATTAATATATGTTTCCATAAATATTTACTATTAACCTAAAATAAAATAGAGTATAGCGTTATTTCTGGTTTTCGTCAATCAATCCATGAATAAAAAGCTGGAGAACTGATTAAAATTATAATTGATAACTTAGAACTACGCATTTAGCATTTATTATTTACCCATTAGTTCTCATATATTTCAGCAAGAAAAGGAAACAAAAATGCAGGAAAAATACAAACCGGAAGAACATAAACTTTTTATTCTAGTAAAAATAAAACTGAAGTTAAAAGTGAAACTATCGTCCTCTAGATTCAAGATTCCATTTTATAATAAAAAATATTGAAATTGTTTCCTGTTTTAAAATAAGTAGTTTGTTTCAATTCTAAAATAGTCGTTTTCAATTCCTAGAAAACTTGATTTGAAACAAGCTCCATTAATTAAGAGAAAGTAAAAATTTCACGAAAGTATTTACTACAGATTATAATCGGTACACAAA